AGAGGATGAATAACTGTTTCTCAAATTGCGGCTCGCTGAATATAATTACGGTGCAATTCTCTGCGAGAAGCACACAAAACAAATCAATCAGCCGAATCGTTGGCGTGCGGCTTTGCCAGAGAGTGGATCAGTTTGCGTAAAAATCGACGCCCGGCTTTGTGAAAACGGATCAAATTGGGCCGCCGTATGCAGTGTCCAATTGGCAATTCGCACGCGAGCCGAAAAAAATCACCCGACTTTTTTTTTCGAATGTTTTGACGTACATACAAAAAATTCGAATGGTGGTTGCACGCAGAACTGCCTGCGTACATGACATGCATGGTTGATCTGGCCCCCCGAAAATTCTGCGGTTGATTTGTATATTCACGAAAGTAAAAAAGATAAAAACGAATACGTCAATGAACACGAGAGCGGAGCTTTAGTTAATAATCAGAAATAACTGGAACGGCAATTTATGTATAAATTAATCCAATTTCATATACTTTAGTTGGAAAAAAAACATATTTTATAATAAAATCAAAAAGAGAAGTTGCAGATCAATATTCCGTTGAAAACGTCATAGAAATTTTAACTGTTTTAAAATTTCCAAATTGAGCTAATATTGCTGAAGTTATTAATTATCTTCCAAAGTTCCTCGACACGCAGCAACTTTGCATCATTAAAAATAACTCCAAGGTGGCTTCCCACAGGCGAAACTTTATAGGTTAGTGATAAATTTCGGTTCACAAGCAAATGTTTATGCCGTCTTAAAGTTTGACCATAATTAAAAGTTTGTATTTTTGAAAAGAATAAAAAAAAAAGATACATTATCCAGTCACTTCTTAATTTTGAGTGAATAAATTGAAATACTTTAACTTCATTCACAGAGTTAAATTAAAGGTATAGAAATGTTGGAACATAATTTACATTAATTTAAAAAAGGTCTAAAATAAAAATTTTCATTGTGCTTAGTAAAGAAACCATAGAAATATCTCAAATTGTTTTAGCCTCGAAATGCTCAATATATTTCATAAAATCTTTAGCATTTTCCAGCTTGAACATTTGTCATGTAAATTCTGCTGGGGAAAGCAATTTGGCTAAAACAGTGCCGAAATTTTATCACCTCGTCAAGTGGTGCAAGTTTTATTCATATAATGCAATTTTATTGACCCCTCCAAGTTGACTTACTTACTTTACCTTCCGCTCGGCGGCTTCCTCTTCCGTACGTGCATATTACAACTTTCTGCGAATCGATCGAGCGCCGCTGCTTGAGATGAATAAATGCATTCGGAGCAGCGAAAGGCAAAAAAAAACTCGTCTCTCCAACATTCAGCAGCCGGCAAATAATTTCCCGATGCGCGCGATAAATCTTCCAGCTGAAAGGTTCGAGTTATTTATTAAAAAGAGGAAAAAATATACATTCATATATCGTGGCAAGTGGGTCGGAAAAGACGTTGCAAATTGGCAGATCGCGGCCGCGTTTAATCCAAGGCGCTTTCAAGTGCAATACTTTTTCGCACTCGTCTCGCGAGGCCCGGTCATTTATTTCCCGACAAGGATTAAACGTCTTATCTCGGCAGCAACAGAGGAAACAAGACGGCGGTTGTTATCCCGCGAGACTGGTGCAGATTTGTCAAGCAACTGCACTGCCGAGATTAAAAATGAGAACAAGTAGGGTGGAAGAATCGATACAGGTGCTTGAGCTTCTGAGACTTGAGCTAATCACCTGGCGGTCCGTAATTGGCCTCACAAGCTCGTTAAGGGTCAACTACTATTATCTCGGGGTTAGCCGCCGATCCATCATCTGCTCGTCTTTTTTTTAATCTTTTTATTTTCTCCATAGGGCACGTCTCTCGATTTTCGTGTTGTGTATATTCAAGTCACGCCACACAGCAGCACGCGTCGGTCTCGCTTTGCATTATCCTCTCTTTGCTGTGTGGCCCCGGCTGAAAAAAAGTGACGATTTGACAGTACGCCGGGTATAAGCGCATGCAAATCGAATTCGAATATATTTTGCTCTTTCTTTCGGGCCATCGGCGCGATTGGCAGCAGAGAAAAGGTTTGAATTTAAATCGGCTCTATATATACATGCGAGGGGCAATCGTTCGGGCGCGAGAGATAGATAGACGATCGTTGCCTTTTTTTCTTCAAAAGAGAGATGCGAAGTTGAGGAATTCTCGCTGCATTATATTGGCTGCCGAGGGAAAGATTGATTCGCTCCCGGGAGATTTTGCAGAGAGAAAAAATGAGACGAAAAAAATGGATCTGAGTTTTAAATTATGCAAAACTTGGATTCTGGAAATAAAATTTAGTGAAAGAGAACGACAAATAATAAATTTTGTTCTGAAAATTATAAAATTGAAAGAATTATATCAAATTTAATTTTCATTTTAATTGTAAATTACATCAGAATCACTGGAAATTTGGAAATTTCTTGTTTTTTTTTATAATTATTTTGCGTATTTCATTGAAATTTTCTTTGATCTATCAAAATTTGCAACAGATTTTATTTTATTTTGGTGAAAATTTTAATTCAGTTGGGCATTTTTACAAAGCGATGGGCAGGTCTAATGAACGGACCGAACTGCCCGACAGCCTCACCCGATTCAATTTCCACTACTTGTAAATGAGTGAAACTCGCGAGTGCATATTGATTTTGTCTCTCACTCGCTGACTGAGCCGGTCGGTTCCGCGCACCCGTTCGTTCCGGACTCTCTCGTTGATACGGTTTTAGTTTGTTCCCAATCGGGCAGGAGAGCTCCGTCGTCGTCGTCACCCACCACGCCTTTCCCTCTTTACGAGATGCACACACCGGGAAATTCGATAGCCGGCCTCGCTCCAGAAATCGTTAATTCCCACACGACGGGTTCGTTATTGTTTTCGTACGTGTGGCGATTTTGCGAAAAGATAGTGGCAAAAACAACGAGAACCACTTCGCACCAACAAAGAAAATTGGCACCATGCGAACTTCTTGTTTTGCATTTGAATATATATAAACGGTGAATCATTGCTTCTGAAAGCGAGAGGAAGACAATTTCTGAGCAAACTTCTTTTAAGTAATAAAGTTTGGAAAAAAATTAACAATTCTTATTGCTAAATTATGGAAAGAGGTCAAAAATCAATATTTTTTACGGGCCAAAATAAATGTTTCTTTTCCTCTTCAAGTTCCGTATTTAAATGTTTTTTACACCAATGTCCTGCGTGTTGCCTATTATTAAGGACTTCTTATTGACATAGTCAAATCAAGTCCTTACAACAATATAAAGGGATTTGTGCGATTGTTGAAAGACAATTGGAAATTTTAATCACCATTGTTGTAAAGACTTGATTTGACTATGTTTATAAGGAGTCCTTAAGTTTAGTTTCAATATTTTTCAATATTCATGACTATAGGCCATCGATTCAATATAAAATTTTCTAAAAAGTATCAAAACGTATGCTTCTATTTGTCTCTTTTTTAAATTTTTTTCTTTGTAAAGGAGAGAAATTGTTTTTTTTTTTTTTTTTTTTTTTTATATTGATCACTATTTAATAAAATTTGATGATCTCTTTGGCGCGCCGTAGATAACCGCGCAGTAAATATTGATTGGCACTATCCGAGCCATTATAATTGCTTTTAAAGTGGAATTATTTAAACAAGCGTCCTGTCTGGTCGTTAACCGTAATTCAACCGATTATGTAACGTAAACGCAATTTCAGTTTACGGCCAATGAAAAGGCCGCGGTTGTATATTATCGCACGCCGACGCCTCGCTGCATACATTCATTTCAAAGTCAAATTACAACTCCGGTCGTTAAATTCGACTTTTCTGCCCGTACATATTTCATCTCTCTCGCTCGCATCGTGCGAGAATCGACCGGTTAATTGATTCCGAGTCAAGGAAGCTGCCCTATTATAACTAGAGCGATCCTTACTTCGCGCACGCAGCGTCGATTATATTCAAATCTCCGTGACTCACCAAACCCGAAATTTGCATTGACGCAACCAACGATTCGTCCGTCGGTGAACGGAAAGACAAATTTAAAGTGTAATTGCAAAACAACTGCGGTGATTTACATCTCGATGCAATTAGGGGCTCAGAAGTGGTGTCGAATTTTGAAGCATGACAACGAACGGCGTTCAGAAATAAATTAATTGTCTGGAGTAAAATGTTGATTTTTATAGGCTTAAATTAAATTTTGAAATAATTGCTTAAAGTAAAAAGTTTTCTAGCATATCCTTTTTTTAAATTCCATAATAATTAAAATTATAATATATAATCAAGGATTATAGTCTCAAAATAGTGAAGAATCATAAATATTGAAAATAAATTGTAACAAATATTTTAAATTTTACATTACTTTAAAAATTTACATAAAAGGCAGTCCAGCTGTAGAAAGTTTTTTTTAATATTTTTTTTGCACATTAATTAAATTTTTTTAAATTAACATAATTTTGCCCAAATTTTTTAACAAAATAATTAAAAATCAAACCTTTCTCACCGAATTCCAACTAAAAATACTTTTACTTTAAAGCAAAAGACACATATTCCTTACTAAATTAGATGACATAACAAATAAAGTAAAATCGCAGCTTATTTCCGTGACCTTTATGGGCCACAATTTCTGCTCGCGACGGACCTTTTCCTGGGCGCGCGTCTAAAAAATAATCGCGAAAAACGTTGTGTGGCATTCCATCTCGGCGCAAAAAGCAATTTCGGTAGGCCATGTCGGCTCGCTCCTGGGGTAAAAAAACGAGCTGCCATTATTATTTGAAAACTGTAGAGACACGCGCTGGGACCTGCACAGTTTGTTTTTCCTTCACGTGTAATCAAATTTGTCACTGCTGGGAAACAAGCTGCGCAAATTGAGTGTTATTGTGCGCGGCGCCCGTTCGCTTTCTCTCTCCGCTCCGCTCTCTCACACACGCACACACCCATCGTGTATTTGTTTGTGTGTGGGTTGACGCCGAGAGTCGACGGATTAATGAAATGACGCATCGGCAGTTCGTGTGTTTAACTCTTTCCCTCTCTGTTCCAGCAGACTCTCGAGCAGCAGCAAATCAGCGGCATAGGAAATTTCATAGACGAGCCTCGACGGAAAAGGTGAGCCAGATTGATGGTGTGATTAATTAATTGAAGCAGGGGCACATCCATTCACTTCAACAGCTCACTTGGTACTTTTATTCGAGTAGCGCGGAACTTTCGTCTTTTCGGCCAGATTAACTGACGAAGTTTTTCGAGGCCCTCTCAAGCAAATAGGCGATTTGTTGATAGACTTTGGTGCCAAGACTTTATATAAATATCGTTTGGCGGAGAATCAAATTCGACATTCTTCCGCTGAATTTTTTCTCAATTTGTTTTGATCGCTCGCGGCGAGAAATAATCTTGAGCCTCGGTCAACTATTTTTGCGGAGGAATAAACGGTACGAATAAAAAGAAATGGCCGGTGATTGAATTCAAATGGGAATCCCGAGCTTAGTCTGAAATAGATTTGTATAAACAAATTTCCAAGAGGATTTTGTGTTAAAAGGTAAAATTTTCTCAAAATGTTGTGAAAAATAATTAATTGAATTGTTTTTTTTTTCTGAAAAAGATGGTTAATGTTTTAATTATTTTTGTCCTTCGACGTTGAAAATTCTATTAATTTTATTTTAGGAAAAAAGGTCAATGTTTTTATTATTTTTGTTTGACAACGTTGAAAGTTCTTCACACGCTTCTGATAAACATTTAGAGTGTTCAAACAAAGTCTCCATGCAAAATATGAACTGCTGGAGTCAAGTTCAAGGCCAGCGACTTAGTATTTACGTCCAATGCATCCTTCTGTTGACTTCCCGTTCGTCTGAGCGTGACACATTAAAAAGTACACAAGTCGATTTTTTTGCCCGGCTTGTTTGTCGCGCCGAGCGTGTGTGTATATTTTGTTGAAAATATCCGCGCGTGACGTGTCGTGTGAAAAGCCGCCAGCGGAGTAAAAAAAAATGCCAAGACGTCGAACAAATTGAGCACAAAGAGGAAGATTTATAATGCGTGCGCGATTTTCCAACCAGTCTCTCTTCCTCAATTATCACACAAACAATATTTGCCTTCCATTTCGGCGGCTTCAAAAGAAAATAAGCGCGACTCCATCCAAAGAGCAAGCAAAAGCATCAAACTCTCCGGAGATGAAATTCAAAAAGTTTTTTTCCTTTGTCGCTCTTTCGAATCAACGGCTTATATTTCCTAGAATGCGAATCAAGAGAAAAAGAAAAGAGACAAACTAAAAAAGCTGCAAAGTAGCAGCTTGTGCAGAGAGAATCGTATTTTCTTCAACAGTTGAATTTTGCTCTATTTTGTATACAAAAACTTTGAAGGAGGAAGAAGTTTACTTCATTGTTAGATAAACTGTTGAAAGTGTCTTTTTCAAAATAATTTTTAAGACCAAAAATTTAGTGGCTGCTTTGAAGCTAAAATGTAAGTAAAATAATAATTCTTTTAGCGTAAAAGAATCATAAGATGGAACATTTTGATAAAATTTTAACCAACAGCGTTTGCATTAAAGTATAGTAAATATGCGTAAAAATTTAAATATTGAAACAGATTAAATAAAAATTTCTCAAAATACCACACAGAATTATCATAAATTATTTTTACATAAAACTCTTTGACATATTTTTTACTGGAATGAATCAATTTTCAAAGATTCAATGGTATAATTAAAAATGAATAAGTACAATTTAATTTAGATTTTATAAAAAAATATTAAAAATGATAAAATGTTTAAAAAATAATTTGGTCACATTTAATTTTTAAAAATACATGAATACACACTTGAGGGATACATAACTTAATAAAATTCTAAATTAATTTGAACTTTTCATCCACTTTTTTACAACTTCTCTGAAATTACTAAGTAAAAAAAAAAAACAACTTTGCAGCAACAAATTCCTTCTTAACACAACATGTTCCTTGGAGCAAAGTGTATCTTTTGTGAAGAATGGCGGCATCCCAGGTCTCGCTCCTCACAGCGGGCTTTTAAACTTGAAGCAGAACTTTATTATGGCATTTTCAACGAGGAAACAAACTGCCGCTTTACATGCGCTCGGCGCTTGCGGTGTATCGGCGGCCGGTGGTGCTGCAAAGTGGCAGTTTTTCCGGCAGCCGGAGCATTTTGAGGTGGCGGTGTGGAGCCGCGGGTAATGTTGCCGCTCGCAGATGAAGTAGGTTAATGCCTCAATTCAGCCTCCCCAAGAGGGGCCGTTGCGGGGGGCGCCGGAAAATTCGGAGCAAAAGCCACTCGATATGTCGCGAAAGCCTTGAGAAGCTGGGAAGAAAAGCTGCGGTCGGTCACAGGTGCTTGATGGTCACCTTTTTAATCCGTCCTTTGCAACTCGGTCTTTCTCTCTCCCTCTCGACAAAGCCCCGGCACAACTTCTCATTAAATGTCATCCGCCAGCGTAGTTCGTATGCAAATTGCGTTGATGAAGAGTCTCGGCCTGCTTTAATTAAAGCGACGCGGGACGTATGCGTGCGCTCCCCATTATAATGGGCGTGCCGCGTGTGGCGTTGTGGATTAGCAAAAGCACCAGCCACGCACCAAACAAACACACTTTTTCCAATTAACTTTTCCAATTATCTCTCATGGGAGAATATTATTCAATAATGATAATGATTCACGATTGTTTTGCGCCGGTTTTGCTGCAATGTTTCAATTAATATTGATTAAATTTACTGCAAACAATTTATATTCCGAAAAGGATTAGTTTTAAATTTTCTTTTTGTATTTAAAAAGAAGGAAACAATTCAATAAAAAACATTTCTTTGATAACTTATATTAATTTTAGTCAATTTTCCTGCAAATTAGTATGGATTTTAGTAGATTTAATTAATAGTAATTTATTTATGTTTTAAATTTCCAAATATTTGAAGGGCTTGTAGAATTTGGCTAGAAATGATCAGTATAAAAGTTATTTTGGGTTGAGCTCGACATTTTATCGCTTAAAAAGTAGGATTTGTTTGTTTTAAGAGGTAAAGTAGATGTAAAAAGGTCAATTTTATTCAATGTTATAAGCATATTAAACGGATTTAACTCTCTTTTTTTAATTAAGTGTTGATCAATGTCAAAACGGTTTATAAACATAGAAATTCGATGCAAAGCAGGTAAAAATTTAATTTAATTGTTTAGCCAAGCAACAAATTTTCAATATAAATAAAAATTGAGAGGGTAATTTTATTTAAATTTTTTAAAGTTACAGTGTTTTTAATGACAAAATGCTGCAATGCAAAAGATTAACTTTAAGTATCAAAATCAGCTCTAAAACTACAGACAATTAACGTTTTAATCAGACAATTAACAAGATTTAGTACGTTCTTTTTTATTATGTAAATATTTCATACATTTTTTATTGCATATCTTTGGATAGCAAAATTTTCTTCAATGTTTATTATTTTAATCAAATAATACAAAGGAAAAAACAATTGGTTTTTAACCAACACATTTTCAAGCCTTTGAGCTGACAATGGGCTCGAGTATAAAAATGAAAAAGGTTGTTGTCATTAATATTAGATGCTGAGCTCGGATAAGATAACAATCTCTCTTTTCATATAGCGTGGCGCGAAAAAATAATTACTTGTCGGTGAGCACGGGTTGAGATGCAAATCTGCAGAGTTTAATTGCAGCCCCCGTCGGCTTGTTGGCGCGTGTAATGGAGCGCGATTCGTAGCCGGCGCTTATCAAGATTTTCAATTAAGCGCGTCCCCGGGCGCGCATTGTCTTCGCAGCCGCGGCTTTTACACGCAGGTGTACATTCACGCGAGTTTATACAAGCGTACGTGAATTTGAAAAGCAAAAGCTGACTGACTGACGCAGAGAGACTCACCGAGAGATTATTTTTCAACACTGTACTGACAGACGAAAGAAAAAAAATGCTTTTACGCGAACCGGCGTTGTCTCGTCGCGTGAAAATTAATTTGGGCTTTTTGAAGTGACGCTCGCGCTCGTCACGCGAAATTCCTCTTTTTTTGTTCATAAATGCTCCGCAGAGAGTGAACGGAATATATAATGTACTATCGTTTTGTCGTTCGTTCGTTCGCTTTCCTGTGAAAAATGAAAGCGGCGAGATTTATCGCGAGATGCAAAAATGTTCACTCCCGCGAATGAAAACATATGGGCGGAGTGATGCTTGCCAAAGACTTGCTCTATAACTTTTCAAATAACACTCGGGCGTTTTATATAAATGTAAAGTGATGAAAAATTGCGGTAAAAGTGTTTCAAGTCTCGCACGTGAAAGTAAATGAAAAAGCATACAGACGTGTTTCTTTTGATGAGTTCGCATGAAAATGTCAAAGTTAACGATTATTTATTCAAAAAATTGAAGCTCCTTTTAGTAATTTTAAAAAGGGCGAAAAATTTTTAATTAAAAAGCCCCAATACCATACAGAATGAAATTTTTCTTACCATTGTCAGCCAAATTTTTTTAACGGAGTTTTTTTTAGTACAAACGGTAAAATTTTTAATAGTAAAAATTGTAATAAAAAGCTAAATGGTTTAAGAAAACCCCCATCGGAGAAAAAATATTTTCAGCCGAGAAGAATAAATAATAAATGTCTGAAAGTAGTAAAAAAATGTGAACGATTTTTATTTCAATAATTATCTTGTATTTTGAGTCAGTTTGGAGATGATTACACAAAGATCCAATGCTTCAAATAAATATTTGTCCGCAAACTTTAAAACCTACATAAATGTAAAAGAAATAGTGGCATTCATCCTGTTTATAGAGTTTCCTAACTCTGTCAATACTTTTCCCAAATTTGTTTTTATTAGCGTGGATCAAATCTTCTTGTCAGCAGCCAACTCAACAAGAAAACAAAATAAACAGTCTCATACGAAATGTGTTTGTATAGAAAACCCAGTCAAGAACTCTTTTATTGGAACCAGATATTCTCTCTGCTGTTTGATTTTACAAATAATTTTGAAGCTTGTTTGATTAATTAATAAATAAATTAATTTTCTTAATTTTACTAATTTACATATTTTGAAGTCGCAAACTCTTGGGTTTATTTCCCGTATCCGTCTCTAAAGATCCACTTTGTTGACCTGACTGAGCTGGTTGCTAATCTTATTGTTTAATCCACTGTAAATCCATCGCGGAGTAAATTTGCGTGCCTGATTTAAATTGCATTCCGCATGCAAATTCTTGGGGCTCGGAGACAAATAGGCTGTCTGGCGCACGTTTTTTGCAATTATTCACCAGAGCAGAGCAGAAGCACACAAATTGCGACTCGGCGGGACCTCCCTTCTTGCACGATACACACGCTAGGTGAATTTATTCCGCCGAGGATTAATATCGAGTCTCTCGTACACACTCTCGCAACAGAAATCGCATCCAGCTCGCAATTAGTGCGGAATTAATCATTTCATTAAGATGCGGTGGCCTTTAATTGCGTACGTATTACATCTGCGGTATCCTTCCTAGTTTGTTCGCTCTCCGGAGAGCATTCCCGAATTAACCGAGTTGAGCCCTGGGTATGAATTCTGTACAAACCGAAACGGCGAGTTTGTTTTGTTTCACTTAATTTCATGGCAACTTTTGCCGTTCGTGAATTGCATCAAAAATGCAGCAGTTGGCGAGTGCGCTCTAATTGTTTCCCATCGCTGAAAAATTAATTAAGCGAATTGTTCTCGTCCGTATGGCCGAGTGGAGTTGCATGAATTATGGAGCGTGGAATTCAAATCCCAACGTCGATGGTCTCTCTCCAGCCGGACACGTGTTCTGCCGAGTGAATAATGCAGCGGCAGCCGCCGAGTCTCGCGGTGCAAATAATCATGGTAATTGCAAACGACACCCTGAAACGCTGTCAACTCGAATGTATGCACATTCATGTTGAATACCGGAAAGTTTCGTGTGCTTGTTTATTTATGAGAGAGTCTGTTTTGTGTATAGTTCCGAAGGGACATTTGAATTAATGCAAAAGCGGCAAGAGGCAAACCACCCGGGGACAAAGTTCGGAAAACTATTTGCAGCATTCCAGTCAAGGAAATATAATGCACGGAAGGATTTGCAGTTTAAGCTCAAAGCGTGTTGAATATGTAAAGTTGAAACAGGATTTAATTGTAAAATACAAAACAAGATTGCAAAATGAATGTTTGTATTAATTGTTTTGGTGTGGAATTTCAGTTTTGCAAAAAAATCCCTGCAAACTTAAAAGTTTTGACGAAATTTTAACTTTTAATTAAAAACTATGGATAGAAAATGGGAAATATTTTAGAAATTCAATTAAAATATTAAATTTGTTGGATTTTAAATAGAAGCTGAAATAATTATTTCTGAAAAGCTTAATGTAAACTTTGAGGTACCAATTGATTTTATTTCGTCAATTTGATGTGGGGGATTATGGTTTTGGTTTGTTTACGAAATTAATTAATAGAAACTTTAATCTTGAATAGCATGAAATGTTATTTTTTCTTTTGAACACCCAGACCCTTTTCTGTATGCAAAAATTAAACTTGGAATCACTTCGTCTAATATTCTCAATGAACTCAAAAGTTTTAGTTGTAATAAATTTCTATTTAAAAAATTTTTATATTATTTTGGCATACATTTGAAAAAAATTTCTTTCTATAAAAAACCTCTGTGTTTATCCAAATATCCATAAACTCATGGCAGTAAAATTAAGCATCGCCTTTTGAAAGTAGCAATTATTGTGCAAAATAGTCGTTGCACAAAGTTAATGGCTCGAATATTAAGTAAGTGGCTCGTTACTTTTTTTTACTCCACAGCAGGCACGAAGGAACATTGAAACTCTCTCGCAGTCGTACCCCATTACAAGCACCTTCAATTTCAATTACACGTCACACGATTATTATCGTCGGCCGCTTCGTTCTTTCTTTTTTCTGTGCATATAATGGAGCGCAATTTACGTCGGAACCGGCAATTTAGCATTATCGCGGCGCAGTGAAAAGGCCTTAAAGGCCGGCGCGAGGAATTATTATGTGGGAAAAATGGAGTGCGATAAAACATACCCGCCGCTCGCTAAAATGTCTGTGCTGTATAAGAAAAGAAGGAGACTTAATAAACGCGCGGCGCACCTACTGCGCGCACGCCGCGAATTTTCCATTATCTTTTTTAAATAATAAATCTCGTTTCCCTCCTCAAATCTGGCTTATTATTGTGAATAATTAACGCGCACAGGCCGCCCGCCGACGCTTATTATTAAAGTTTGGCGCGAACGGGAGCGCGGGTGGTGCACAAACGCGCCCCGGGACGACACGCTGACCCGACCTAATTGCCTGTGTGGTAGTGCAAATTGAAGGGTGCGCTTTATTTTGGTTAATGTTTGGAATTATGTAGCAGAGGAGGACATGAAATTCACTCTGGACAATTTTCTAACTGAATCAAGTTCTTTAGTTGAATATGACGCATATTTCGGAAAAAAGGGGAAGAATAAAAAATGAAGAAAATCATTCCATTATTCAACATGGAAGTTTATTATCTAGAAGAAATTATTAAAATAGATCTTTAAGTGCTTCTCCAGTAATAATTTTTACTTTTGGATTCTAAAGTTGATAAAATTCTATGAACAACATGAAAAACGCGATCGAAAAATTCGCACTCAAAAGGGTTGACAGTGTTGACACCAGGATTCATCAAAAGTTTGCCTTTTCCCGCCAATATAATTTGAATTTTGAGGGTTGTCTGTCTTTGTAAATCTTGAAGTTTGACCAAATATATGCAAGTTACTACTTCTTGAAATTGAAATTGACAATTTTATCATGGCTCTAATATTTATGGCTTTTGGCGGGAAAAGGTTGGCGTTTGATGTTTCCCTATTTTATCAATTAGAACTTTTTGCTATCATTACATCACTGTTTTGACATGTTATAGCTATTAAAATGCTTTTAACAAAAATCCAAAAATGTAACATTCACTAAATCTCTTGAATTATATGGCTTTGCGTCCAGAACATCCTCTTAAGCTTCACTTTCTCAGTTTATTTCATCAAACTTAAAAAAAAAAATACACCCAAAGCACACAAATTCCAAAAGCATGAGTTGATATTAAGTTTAAAATTAATTATTATTAAATATGCATTAAAATATAATGAAATTATTACAAAAATCAGAAAAAAATATCTGAATTTGAAAGTACATATTATAAATGTTCAGAACTGCTCAAAAATTAATATCAAAGCACAAACAATAGATGAAATTTTGATAATTTTTTTTTTCTTTTTATTTTATTTAAATTTATTTTATTTTTTTAATTGTTTATCCCTCTTGAGAAAGGCACCAGCGGTAGCAGACAGGCTGCTAAATTATAACATGAGTTAAGAAAAGCAATATAAATATAATGAAATGAAAGCAAAAAAAAATATATTACATTTTTAGACTTCTTGTGATGAAATATTACGTGTGGATGCAAATGTCGATGCTGTCGATCCGGAGGTCGAATCCGTTTCTGGCTTAATTGTACCAAGTTTAATTTCCCCCTCTTTCTTGGGCCAAAATTTGTTCCTCAACGCCTGGCGCATGTTTTTGTTGGACCAAACGCAGAACCAGAAAATGAGCACCCCGCGCAGACCATTGATGGAGTCCGTGACGAACCAAATCGCGTCCGGGCCGCCGATTGCCCACGAGATGATTTCCATAAACCACGTGAACCCCAGCAGCAGAAATAGTTTGAAATACATACAGAGTCGGTCCTTCTCGTGCTGATTTTGATTATGGACCTGACTGTCGGCGGTCGAGAACACCCTACGCGACTCCTTTCTCCTCACCCACAGCCGCCACACTGTTGTTCCAAACAAGTATGAATTCAGCAATAGCAAGGCCAAAATTGGTCCCATGAAGAACAGGAATGCAGACCAAAAATCTGGAGAACGAAAAAGAATTGAAAATATTTTGATTTTTAAATAATAAAAGGGTTGAATGTTTTTGAATCGTTACAAAATTGGTTAAAACAAGTTTCAACCAATATCTAGTTGAAAAATTGAAACCAGGATTTGAGCTCATTGAAAAAGTTAAAGGTCAACTGATTTCAAAAGAGGAACATTACTGTAGTCTGCTGGTACTTTAAAAACCTAGGATTTCTTCTATCCATGCTAAGGGCAAGAATTTTTTCAATATATACTTTTTTTAATTACTCTAAAAACGACATTTTACCATATTTCTTAAAAATGAAATATTTCTTAAAAAATATTTGATTTACTTTGAAACCAGCAGCTGTTTTGCCCAATTCCAGGACTCCAGTCTGGATTTTTAGTGGTTTGGTCAAAAGTCACCATTGCGATGAAAAGTGCAAGTGGGGTGCACCACGCGTACAGCGAGAAGATGCGAAACTTTTGATCGTGTGTCCGCAGCATCGATCTATAATACGACGTCAATTTTCAATAATATGACAATTAAAAGAAAGTAAATACCCGCTGAAAGTCAAATAAATATCGATGCACATCACGTTGAGCCAGAAAAAGGACGTCAACATGAAGTAATAAGTGATGTAAGCTGCAGAATAACAATTATTATATATTTTGCAAACAAAAGTTTTAATTACAAGAAAAAAAAAAAATAAAAAAAAAATACTTTACCAACGATAATGCAGACATCTATGTGGCTACTTTCGCCGGTCAAGTATGTAATCGTGAGGCTAATGAACGTTATGAGCAAACTTCCGGACTGGCAAACGACGGATCTGCTGTGGACCGTGGTGTGGTCGGGCGTCAAAACGAACGCCAGCAGAGTCGGAAGCAAAAAGATTGCACTCAATATGAAAAACGCCGGGTAGATTTTGAATTTGAGATTTTGCATTGTATCTTCACTATTTTCTTTTGTATTCGTGCAAATCATAACCGTTGGCAGTTTTCCGTCCTGAAAAATAAAAATTTTTGCTTTTACTTGAAATAATTCAAAATATTATATTACGTTCATTGGAATTAGACAATATTCTTGAGCCGTTACGGGACGATCATCATCAGTACAATCAGGGTGCAAATACCTGATCAGCCCGTTTGAAAGGATATGAAATTTTTCATTAGGTTCAAAGTCCGGATCCAAGGGGTAGGCCTGTTCGCAGAGTGCCTCGTAAACAACGTGGAAATATTTGTTCATGGGAACCGAACGTTGCCTTTCGTCTTCCCAAATTTCGATCAAGGCGGGTTGTTCAGCCATCGTCAGATTAAAAACTTCTGCCAGAACTTAAAAACGTCTCTCCATTTTAATTAGAACAAAAAATGGGTGTTCTAAATAAATACAAATAAAATTTTATTACTTGTACCTGCTGGACATTGTCGAACGCACGTTCCCAACAGGCACGGACATGCCCACCAGTAATTTTCCTCTCTCCAGTAAGTTCCCATCCGGAAATTTGTCCCGTCCGATGTTTCAAGCGATCCGTCCGTTTTAATCGTTCCGTTAATAACTTTGGTTCTTAATTGTTTCTCGCATGGGTCGCAACCCCACACCAGGCAGGGTCCGCAGAGGCCCAAAAGGGCAATGAAAATCCACCACCCAAACGTGCCCATGGCCTCAATGCGAACGCGACAGTTTTGCTTAAGATAAACGAACAAATCCGTCTGTTTCCTCTCTCTATATAAATGGAGATTTTTTCACTGCGGTTGGTTTTAGTGATAATTTCTGTTAGTCAGCGTTAGAGAGGAAATGAAAATAGTTTAATTCTGTGTGTTGCAAAGTCGATTGCGGTGCTTTTTTTTTCAATATTATAGTGCCTGATAAGCGACACAAGTTCAACTATATATTATATAGTATTTGTATATTTTTTCTCCTTTTTATCAGGAGAAATATTTAAAAAATTAATAGAGAGACGAAGAAAACTCTGCAGTCATAATTCGTAATTTAATCCTGGGCCTTGGTTGTGTACATTTAATTAAGTTGTATGATTTAAAAAAAAAAAAACGCAAAATTTACCTTCTGGAAACTTGTATTCTTCTTCAAAAGTGTCTAACTCGTTCAATGCGGACAGTAGTCATTCTTCTTCAAGGGTCTCACAATGAGAAATTTATTTCAAAATGTTTAATATTTTAACCATTCTAACTAATAAAATTACTATTAATGAATAGATTTTGATTAGATAATGATTTTATTTTATTCGTTTAAAGCACTTTAAAATCATCAACAAGCACAAAAATCCCTCCAAAACATGTAAATGTTGCTCGTAGAACACGCCAAGTTATTACATGCTGCATTAAATTGTGTCCGAAAAACGAACCGTCTGTGAAGAAAATTTTCATAAAACACCTTTTTACAAGTGTCTCAATATATTTGAATTGAATTATTTCATTAAATATGTACACTGATTGATTTTTTTAAATAAGTTTGAATTTTTGGATGATTTCGATATCAGTCATGATATTTTGTAGTCTTTTGAATTCAAGAATAAAAACCATTACTGAAGGGGACTTTTATTTATACTGGGTACTTTTTTTATAATAAACTCGATTATTTCACCGCTCTTTGAAGCTTTTGCACTTCATTGAACGTTATCTATGCGCAGTCGATTCGCTCAGCACAATATTTAGTCGTTTGCAAAGCTCGATGGTCGGACGATGGGGCGGGCGGGTGAGACATTCGTGTCACTGTATATATGCTACGAGAAGATAACGCCGCCTTTATTGATCAATTTACCTAGCAATTAGATCGATAAGCGGCCGACTTAAACTCGCCGCCGCCTCTGGCTGCGACACACTCGCATCAATCGGCCCCGGTTTCGCCATTGGGCCCAGGGACGTGGAGCGTCAAACGAGATTATATCGCATTCAAATCGTGTTTACATCCTCTCTAATTCGCGTTTGTGCTGCTGCTCTTTATCTATGCACGCGGCTCTGTTTGTTTGTCACTCACTTTGCCTTTGAACAACTAATGAAGCGGCCTTTCAACAAATCCGCGTTCAAACGGTTTTTTTAAATGCCATTTCTTTCGTGTAGTTAAAATTCAATTATCAATTATCAGCATTGATATAATTCTAATCTCAAACGTGTAAAAAGCAATCATATCGTAATTATTATTAAATTGCTCTCAATTGACTTTAATGGCTTAAATTTTATTACTCATTCTTATCAGCAAAAAAGGACGTGAGAGTTTGTTTGATTTTACACCGATGGAGATAATTTTTATCTCACTACCTCTTTCTTTCCACACATTTAGGTAGATTTGAGAAAATATTTAATTCAAATTTCATTCAAATTATTAACTTTTTTTGACTTGAAAATTTAAAGCATAGTATTTTTCAAATATTTTAATCCATTTTTTGTAAAAAAAAAATTATTTTATAATTTTCGAGAGTTAAAGGCTAAATTAATTTTAATTCAAACAATAATATCAAATAATAATAATTAACAGTTTGTTTTATTTTTATTTTTTTAATTTCTAACGCAGTTCTATCGTTGAATTTTGTTGTTATGGAAATAATAGACTTTTCTAGCATTTCGTAAACTGCTGAGCTGAGATTAGATTTTTTATCATCACTGGTTGTTTATATTTAAACACAGCATTTTATCACAGCCAGCACTTCTTGATGAATGACAAAATCTCAAATCCATTATTTTTCCATATTTATTTCTTCCACTCGGCTTCTTTACGTCAGAGAAAGTCTAAAATGTGCAGCCCATCAGTGGCGACGATAAATCGTCCCCGCGGTTTAGTCACGCACGAATCTTGCAGCGCCCAAAAGACTCGGTTTGATTTACGACGAGAGCGCGGGTGAGTGAATTCTTTATCGAGTCTCGCGCGCATTTCACCATTCACGATTTCCAACGCATTTGATTATATAAAATACATGAGCAGCGCCGGATTTTCAAAAGGCGTGCAAACAAAGCCCGCTCCCCGATAATTACTCGCCGTCGAAATTGAAAATGCTCGGCGCGGATTAGCATTTAAACGAACGTCGCCTGATTGCAAGTCTGCGCTCGCCATTGTTCTCCGACTTTCTGTTTAAACTTTTTTCATTATTTTTTAAGTAAGACGCAGCAGCACGCGCTGATTTAAATTTAGCCTTGCACGCACGCACGTATCGTATTCGAACTGGTTTTTCATTCTTTTGAAATCGGAAACTGGCTTAATGCGCTTTTTAATGTGTCATGTACAAGCATGTCCGACTAGCGTGAGTTGAAAAAGCTCAAAAGTGAGAGGTGCGGCCGCACTTTTTGCATTTTAAATTGCGTGCTGTGGTCCACAAGCAGTCAGACTGAGCATTTCATTTCAATCTTGATTCTGGCTTAAAAAAGTTTGTATGGAAAAATTATCAATCCTTTCAAAATGGCGGGAAATTAAAATAAACTAGTTCATCAATTTTTTTGTTTAATTTTTTTAAATAAATATTCTTAGTTTGAATTTGTGTTTCTTTCAGGAAGCTTTTTTTAAAAATATTGTAAAATTTAATGTTACATAATCCTATATTTTATTCTGATAAAATGTTTACTTTTTTTAAATATTTGATCCAAATTATTCAAATCTAATTTTTTTATCCATTTTAAAATAATAACAATTGAAAAAGATGAATCAGGATTGAAAGCTTTTTAATTTCATCTACAATAAATCACATTTTGAAAATAACTTCTAATTTGAAATTTTTTGGAAAAGGCTGCCCTTCTCAATTTGTATTTAATTTTATCATTTTAATTCTAGAATGAAAAAACGACACCAATAAAAGACTCAATTTGAAACCCAAAGCGAAGATTTGCATAATTCGAGTATAAGGTTTATAATACCTCCCGGAAAAATTCTAGCTTTTCATTCTTCATTCATCTTTTTGTGTACCGTTTAAAAAATTCATTAACCTTCTGGTTTTTTTTAAAAATGGCCAAAGAAGAAAGAAATTAATTTAGTCTCGCAACGAGCAAAAGCCGCACGTGCCGCACTCGCTCTTGCTCTCTCAAAAACATTAAAATGCGCGAAATTTTTCCACGTTTTTTTTCCGCCTCTGTTGAGTGGCCGCTTAAATACGGCTCGCGCGTCCTTGGAAAAGAGGGCGAACGAAAAAATAACATTCATTTCACCTGTACAGCTGCTGCTAATGGATGTGCCCCTGCAGCAAAGAGAAAAATGAGAGGGAAAAGCCAGCAACCGCTCTCGCACACACACTCACACTCTTTCCTTTTTGCAGGGCGGAATCTGATAAGTTGAACCACGTTTTGCTCTTCACCATAATCAACCCGCTGTACCCCATCACAGTGGTGAGTAATGCACACCTCCATCTCGTCTCACAAAGGCAATAAGCCCGGGCGTTTTGGCTTCCGCAATTTTATTCAAACGCCACCCCCGACCGCCCCCGCCCCCGCCCGCCCGGCACCCGCATGAATCCATCCGAGAGTGCATCGATCAGATTTATTGCTTTCCCACTCTGGCGCGCCGCTTTTATGTACGTACTTGCAGGCGCAAATCATTTCTCACGGCGCGACGAGCAATTTTTCTGCCGAGCCAGCACCACACACGCGCGGCCGAGCAACGAATAATTGCCCCCCGCGCGCCCGGATTATAACTCATTCACTCAGACCGCAGCGGAAAAGTACGCTTTTCCGAGACCCACTCGAGTAACGGGGCCTGACGCTCCAATATTTACTTTGCAGCCGACCAGGTACTTTTCTTTCGCGCAGAGGGAGCTAAAAAGTGGAAAGGCGTTAATGCTCGCTAAAAGTATGCAATCCCAGCACCCCTCGCCGTAAATTAAAAAAAAAAATGCCAAAAGTTATTAAAATAAAATAAGCCACTTGTTGAATTTTACTATTTCATTGCTCATATTTCAGCAGTAATGTAATTTTTAATTAATATAATTGTGAAATTTTAAAACTGCTGAAGTTTATTTTTTCTGAATTACATTGGCATTAGACACAATCATTTTGCGTTCTGTGCAGACATTTATTTTATTGAAAATTGATATGGAAAATGTTATTTTTACTGAATTTCGTTTAGTTTAAAAAACTATCTATTGAAAGGCCTCTCCAAAAAATAAATTTAATTCTTAAATTCAAATCTAAACAATCAAAATCTGACATCAAAGATTAAAGATTTCATAAAAAAATTGCACTTGTAAATGAGGTTTGTAGAATATTCACCTTTTCCCGCCAAAGTAAATTTGAACCTTTTGAGGAAGTTTCAGTTTCAAACTTGCAGATTTTGTATAAATTATAAATTTTCGCAAATTTCAAATGCATTCGGCGGGAAAATCTTACATTCGGCTCATTTTTTTTTTTTTTTTTAATTATTCTTGTGGAGAAAAATCGTCTAATGAAAGTTTTAAAACTTATTATTGATAAAAAATCTATGTGGAAAAATATAATTTTATTTGTCAAAGTCGATAGGACTGTTAAAAGTTCCATAGATGTGGATAAAATTCATTTTATTCAGTGCATTTATTTGTTAAAGCCACCGTTTTTTCCACGTCTTCACTGTCAGCTGCTGTGAAAACACTAATTAACAATCAGCGTACGTGCAACAATCGAGTGTGGCCTCCACACTCCAGTCGGTCTTGGCCTTTCCTTTCCAGAACGAATACCAAAACAGAAGTTTTTTTGCTGCGGCGCGGCTTGAGGTCTGCTGGTGTCTATGGGGCATTGATTTATCTTGTGCGCGCTTCCCTCCTCCCTGACCGCATACTCGGATACTCGGCATGGGAAAAACTATCGGGGCCCTCTTTTCTCCAACTCTGCGTCGCGCTTTATTGCTTCGGCGTGCTGTGAGAAATGGAACCGATAAATCCGCCCAACAAAGTCTCCCCCGAACTCCATCCGAATGCAAATCGCGCGCCAGTTTAATTATCTTCTCTGTCTTGGTCTGTTTCAGGACGTCCTGCACACCATTAGCGCTCCAAACGGACAAGTGGTGCGCATTGTTATCTTCAAGAAAAATGGAGTCCAAGCCATGGTCGAATATCCTTTTCCATGCAAATTAAAACCGAAAACTTCTTCTTCCGTCGCACAGTTGAGTGAAATACGGAAAGAAATGAATCGCCAACACAAAAGCTTTTTCCTCCTTTCATTATTTTTTTAAACTTTTATTCCGTCGCGTAAAAACGCTGCGAAATCTAAATATTTCTCTCTGCGTTTTAGTGCCAGCGTTAAAAAGTTCGTTTCGGAAAATAAATGGAGCCAGATTTTTTTTCCTTTGCTCAAAATATTATGCGGCCTTTCTCGTTTTAAGATCCATAAAGATCATGAGATCGAGCTGCTTAAAAGCCCCATTCTCAAGGTTAATTGAATCGTAGCCATTTTATATGAATCTGTAGAAGAAAAAGTGGCGTATTTAATTTTATACGGGGAAGAATTCACCTGCCTGACGGCTTAAGTTGGAGAAACTCTATAAAAATCCATCAAGTTCCACTTTTCCCGCAACTTTTCTCTCCGCCTCACCCTCCGTGATACTCTTTAGAATTCAATTTATTCGCCGCCAAGTTTAAATCCGGCCGCCCGGAAATATATCTTGGGCAACTCTAGAGCCGGCTTTTGTTTGAAGTCGCGGCGCCGAGTGGCTCCACTTGACACCCAAGTAATCCATCAGCCCAATCCACCTCGATTTTGGGGACTGTCACTCACCCAATGTTTGTGCGGGGGGGTCTCCACCGGCCGGCCGGTGCCCCCGACGCAGGTCAACTCGAGAGGATCATGAAGTGAGTGTTTGTTTTTGCTCAAATTACGTCTCACAAGGTATGCTCCCGAGATGACACACCCCGATTTCAATGAAAATTGGTGCACAACTTCTACTACCCATTGGTACCCCAGAACGGTCATTAATTTTTGCCCAATTTTCCTTGTTTAATTTTTGCCATTTAAACTCCATATTATTTGAATTACATTGGAGAAATCGGATGTAGGCAACTTATATACACAGAGGACGCTTTTGTTGCCTACATTTGATAGTTTTTAACATGCGTTTTAATGTAAACTACCCTCCCTTGTGAAATTGGGCAACTTTTGATAGCCATTCCAGAACACCCAAGGGTAGTGCAAGTTGCATACCAACTTTCAACAAAATCGGCGTGTGTCATCTCGGGAGCATACCTTGTCAGAAGAATTCTGGACAAACACATATCAGAAAGATCTTTTCTTGCACACGTGGCCTTGGATATTTTTAGAAGAAGAAAAAAAATTGTTTTCGTAAGAAAAAAGTTTTCTTGTACAATATTAAGAAAAAGTTGATTAAATTTCATTAGAAATTTATTAAAAATAATAATAATAATAATAAAAATAATCCAAGTACTGTGTGAACCAAATTTAAAATTTATTCCCAAAATTTAGCTGATGTTCTTTTTTTAGGGCCGTTTTTAAATAATGTCTTTTAATATTAAAATAATGAAAGGAAGGAAATATTAAAATTGTATTTAAACATTAAAATAAATATGATTGACAGTTTTAAACAGATTTCACTCTCTGATTATCTTCTTTAATTTGATTACTGAATTTCATTAAATTTTTTACATGATTTTTGTAATTTTTATTTCATTTAATGTATATTTCATGCAATTTCGTCAGTAATTTTCCTTAACCAGCTTTAGCACGTTTGACAGTGTGGAGTCGGCGAAAAGAGCCAAGGACACGCTGAACGGCGCCGACATCTACTCGGGATGCTGCACCCTCAAAATCGAGTATGCAAAGGTAAGACCCGATGTTTGGCGAGTGCATTACGAGGGAATTTGCGGCATGTGAAGTTTGTTTAGGCCCAGAGGAGAAGAAGTCAAAGTCACTTTCGCATGCACGGGCACAATGGGACGGGCGCACCGCCGGCGCTTTTGTGTTTGGCTTGCAAAAATCCCGGGGGATTTCGCCGGGTTTTAAATCATTATTGTCGCCTGAAACGCCGCCGCCCTTTTGAGGTTTTTCTCTCATTCCGCTCTGAGCACACGAACCTTTTTCATTGTTTTCTCTAGCTCGGCAATTTGCCCTTCTCTCTGTGCATAATTTACTAAAAAAAAACCACCGGCACATGTGTCCGCCCAGTTTGTGATCAATTTTTCGAGGTATTTATTTTATACCACGGAGAGAAAAAACCAACGGCACTTGAGTTATAAATAACCATATTTTTACGATCGCTCCTCTTGAAACTTTCTTTTGCCGCCCTCACGCATGCGATATCATTTGGCCCGTTCTCTATAGTGGTGTATTTATGGGAAAAATTACTCCCGGGCGGTTCAAAGTTTTTACCAACTATCAAGAGACTCGAAAGTATGCGCCGAGAATAAAGAGTTTAAAATATTCTCTTTATATAACCTTCGCATAGTTATTAAATCCTTTTTCTTCCTCGCAGCAGGCAATCTGCGCTGCTTTTTTGTTTCAACTTGCTTTATTCTCGCCGAGATGTGTATCGAATCGAAAGCCAAACAGTTTGCACTGGTCCCCTTGGGGCGCTGAATTTGCAATATTGATGGAAAGAAGCGCGAACGTGATGATATCAGACGTTCTCTCCGTACATAAATTTGTAAAATGAGAAGTCTGCGCTCCTATTTGCTCATCTTCTGCAATTTTTCTCATCTCTCAAAGGGGAGGAAAGCCAGTGTAGAATTTAATACCATCAATTTTTCATTCCACCCGGTGTACGCTTTCAGGGTGAATTTGATCATATTGGGCACAACTTTTATAATGAGACGCTGAATAATAATAAGAATAAACCTATTTATTTCATTTTTTTTTCAATTCAACAAATTCTATTGCAAATAATAATAACAATCATTTTGCAAGTAAAATATTGATCGAAATTTATGCAATCTCATCCCTCTATTGCTGCGATTGACCTTTTGGATAAATGCTATTGACGTAATTTTCCACTGCGGTTCTTCCATTCAAATAATGTGATGGGTGTCGTTACTCAGCTGTAACTTTGAAATGGCTGTTTGTTCCGCAAAGTTTGCCCATCAGGAGTGAGAGTTAGTAGACGACGCTTTGGTCACAACCGCAGACATATAAATCATATTGTTCCAGAGACGAACAGAAATCTATGTTAATAAAATGAAAATGTATAGAGGGCGATCCAAAAGGCTAACTTGGCCCAGGCTAAATTAACCTGTCCCGGGCTGATTTAACCCGCCATTAAATTTTGCTGATGGATTAAGTTAGCCCGGGGCCAAGTCAAGATAGCCTGGGTCAGGTTAGGCTTTTGGATCGCCCTCATTGTTTCTGGAATGAAATTTGAGATATTGTCAATTTTAACTCAATTAGCAAATTTATTATTTTAAATTAGATGGAAACGTTTGTTGATTTCTCAATTATAAAAGTTTTATTATTTTATGTCTGGAAAGTTTTATTTAATTGAAAATCGACCATTAAAAGTTATCACTGAATCATTTTGCAATTTGTTCTCAGCCCTCCAAATTGAACGTGTACAGGAACGACAGCGAGAGTTGGGACTACACCGTTCCTGATTTGGGTAAGTCACGGCATCAATTTATTTTTTCATAAAAACAACCGAATTATATTTTCATTCTCATGATCAGCACCAATAACCAAACACCCGAGTCTGAAACGTTGCCAGTTTTTGAACAAAAAAATCCGTTTTATTTTAAAAAAAAAAAAAGATAAAAACCTGCATTATTATTATTATTTGCCCCGTCTTTTTCTTTTTGCGAACTTAAAAAAAAAAGATGATTTCAAGCATGTTGAATATGATACACCTGCGTGAAAACACGGGCGTACGCAGGGTGGTATTAAAAACCATCTCTCGTTTTTTTTTCTTCTTTTTCTTTCGAAGCGCAGGTTTTGAATTACATGTGTATGTACGTGTCTTTCTTTGCTTTTCTGCGCGTTCATATCTACATACACTCTCCTTTTTTTTCTCTTGCTCTCTCATGAAACAAACCTCACAAACATGCAAACACACCGCGCGCACCCTTCAAGTCGGTCGTCGTCGGCAACAGAGCGGCCATGATTTTCACTCTCGAATGAATGCAAACCGGCGTTTGAAGGCTTTTCATCCAACATATACGCATCCCTCGAATGAGAAGAAGAAAAAATTAAAACGCTCGTTTAATGAAGTCGCTCATTCCTTATTTATATTTATAAATGAACGCATTCCCCCCACCCGAGCTCCTTACTTGATTACTGTCATTTGCACGGAGCGCGGCCGCGGCGAACAATGAGCCCGGAGAGGTCATTTGTCTATTCACTCATAACTGTCGCGGCACAATAGCCGGCCGTCAGCGACTCTAATGGCTTTAATCAGTCACACGCGCTCGTTTATTGTTTTCATCGGCCGGCCGATTTTCGGCTCTGCCGGAACTCGCCGATTATCGGGGCGATCGCCGCCGCCACCGCAGCCCCGCGCATTGTTTGCCCCCAACGCAGATCGATCGACTGTCACTGTCCTTTGTTTGGTCACCGCGGCCAACGGACCGACATTGGAGAATTTTCCGATAATTACTGCTGCCCACCGCGGCGTAGTACATACAGTGGCAGTTGGCGTTTGTCAAGCGACCAGAAAAACCAATCTCGGTCAGGATGGAGGAGTCGTCGGGTTAAATCTTTCGGTTTTCGTTAATGCTCGCCCATTGTTGCGTCAGACGTGCTAAATGGACGGGCAAATGTGTTTGTTTTTGTGATAATCATTTGGCCTTAAAAATAATGCGTTGTAAGACAGGGAAATTATTAAGAAAAATATGTCATGCAGTTAAAAGAATTTTATTTGAAGAAAAAAAACTGTATAATAAGTAAAAAAATTTTACCCCTGATGACCTACATTTTGTTAAATAACAAACTCGTTTAGTGTAAATTGGTAGAAATCTTCAATCTTATTTTTTATTTTGTATTTGGCGAATTGTTAAAAAATCAAATAGGAATTATTTATATCATAATTGTCACTGTTTAAACGCATGCCATGAATTAGTAATATTTAAAATTTTTGTTTCGAAAAAAATTAATTGAAGCTAATAAATTTATCCTGCCAAACATTCAGTTGCTAATTGAATTTAATGTTTTTTTTTAGCAAATTTTACCGGTTTTCTCCTATATTTGATTTTTTTTTCTTTCTCATAATAGGTGTTAGAGAAAATTATACAGATTTTCGATCAGAAAGGCACTAGAGTTTTTAATACAAATTAATTTTCATGAAAATTTTGCCTTTTGATTCATCTAGATATTATCATAATTTCATTATTTAAATCAATTTATTATTATAATAATATTGATTATTTTGGTGTTACTAACGTAACAAAATTGAAAAATTTTGCATAATCATCACGCTAGAAGCAAATAATTTTAATAGCATTCTTTAAATTTTAAGTTCACATCGTCAATATTTTCAATTTGGGTTGCCTGAAGTTGATTTTGGATTACAATGAGAAAATTTACATTAATTTATTCCGTCTTTACCGAATCTTATAATCGTCAAAATTTAAGTGTCTTTTATTCTTGAATATTTAATCAGCGGAGGTCGTCTTAAAATCCATCTTTTTATATCCTTCTTTTAAATATTGAAATAAATTCAGTTTTAAATCGCTGACAGCTATCTAAATTTATGCAAAAACGCCCATTTTCATGATTCATTCAAACGATCAAGATTGCGCAGCTGCTTCATGTTTTGTCTTCTCCATCAATGCACGGAATGCATTAAATCTTTCAGAATTTATTATTAAAACACGGAAGCAATCTAAACGTCATCAAGCATGCAAAAGTGTGACGAGCCGGTGCATTTAATTTTCCTGTACCGCTGCACACGCCTGTAAATTAATAATGAAAAAAAAACGGCATAGTCTAATGATTGCATAAAAAATTACGTTGGGCTTACTGGACCGAGGCTCCAATTATTATTCGCGCGGCGTTATAATTAAGAGCTAACGGATATTCGCCGAGCTTGTTGTTAAAAATTTTCGCCACATTAGGCAAAGTTTTCCGGGCGAATTTGCTCGTCTCGTTTATATTAAACAGCGACGGCAATTACGGCCGACCGACCGCGCGTTTTACGCCTCTCGTAACGTGTAATATGCTCGCGCGCGCACTACAAACACATTACAAACTCATGAGGTGTGCGCCGGGCAAGGTGAATTCGAGCGAGTGCAAGACGCTCCTGAAATATTTATCACCGCTCTGCGTGTTCTCCGCGGGGAAATGAATACATTCGCGCTGGCCCCGCCCCTGCTCGTCGAAAAATTGCCCCTAATAGAAAGGGGGAAGAGATGCAAATCGCATTTCGCAGAGAAAGGAGCCTAATTTCGAGATTAGAGAGAGAAGCAGCAGAATAGATGGGATTATGCATGCGTTGAGCCTTAATATCAGCCAAGTCATTGACTAGCCCTTTTTCCTCGAGAATAATTCATCGTGAAATTCGCCTTGATGAGATTAAGCTAGCAATTTTTCTTTCGGTGAAAAAAAATTCTCTCGAGCGGAAAGCGTGCTCGTTTTTTCGCTCAGATTACGGAATTATTATTCACAGAGCTTTTGAAATTTTTAGATAAAAACGCGAAATATGGCGATACTTGAGCAGAAGTGCTTTTTATCGGCAAATTCACAATGTCCAACAACGTGCAATCTCCGCAGGTTCGAGTGGTACTGAAGATACCGCCTGCTTTGAAATTTTACGCCGAATCTAGCGGTTCTTTTGACCAAATTCAATAATTTCACAAACGGCCTCTAAACTTAAAAAAACATTGGTTAATTTAGATAAAAACAAATTCAAGCCTTAAGAAAACAAAAATTATGCAAAACATTTTATGCTCATTTCAAATTGTTAATTAGAAACGGCAAATTAAGTGTTTATAAATTATTATAAACTTAAATTCAATTTCCTTTACGTAATAGAAGAAAGAAAAATCTAGAATGTTGGAATTTTTCTATTATTTTCCTCTCGAAAGTTCATCTTTTCATTTAATTAGTGGAATCAACAAAGTTTACCAATTTGAAACCCCCGCGTGATTTCATTTCGGCCTTTTGCTGATAACGAAATTATCCCAAAGGTCAAACCGCAATACCCAAAAGGCCCGATATATTTAGCACAAATAAGGGAGGGTCGCTATAGGAACCGCCGTGGCACCGCTTCGGAATATTAATTCGAGTCGCAAATTAATCGGCCGGTGCAATAATGGAGATAAAGCCGGGCCAGTCTACGGCTTCCTTGCATAGCGTTATTCAATACGTTGCTGCGCTGCCGGGGCGAAACTGTCGGGCTTCAGCAGGTTCGGCCGGGGCCTCCACCCCGTGTAATGATTTTGTCAGCGCAGAGCGACCAGGTCTTACGAGAACCTGTGGCTTCTGCCTCTCGTTTTCTTTCCCAAAATGAATATTTTAGACGTTCCTACTGCGCACAGTTGACGCCGAGTGGCTCTCTCATGAATTTATTACATTTCCACCGAAGCAAAAAAATAAACACACCTGAGCTCGGGAGCTCTGAAATGATGCATTTAGCAAAATATTTTTAACAATGTCAAAATTCCAATTTTATTCTGTTAAATTAATTGACAAATATTTTCTATTTTGTAATAAAATAATACTAAATATTTCTATTAATTAAATTCAAATTCTAGAAAATGTATTGATATTTTCTTTTTCATTTCTTTCAAAGCGATTTCAATTTTTTTTATTGGTCTGCTATCCGGATTGGGTGACTCGAGTTCTCCTTTCACTGAATGTGATCGCAAAACTTTCTGGGTGTTCTGATTCACTCCGCTCGACCACCCCGCTACATGTGAATTGAGCGTTTTGCTAATAGGATTGGAAAAGTTCCGAGCTCGGTCAGTTTGTCAGCCCCTGCGGCTTCTTCTTCTTCTCTTCACCGCCTCCACTCGCGATTATTTCAACCATAAATTCGCTAAATGTAACGTTGATTATTCAGCGTCTGCCAAGAAAAGATAAATATTGCACTCGGTGCACGCGACTCTGCCAACGCTGCTGACAAAAATGTTCCGGGGACGGATTTAAACCGTTAATCCCGCGCACGAAAGTTGATCGTCCTGGGGATTAGCAGTGATTGAACGTGTTTTTGCGAGGATTATTTTTAAAACCCGCGCTCATTTATATATTTTTACAAATCCGCGCTGCTGCAAAAACTTTTGTGTGATTTCACGAGCGAGGATGGATAATTACGTTGAAATCATTTTGCGAAAGTTGGGAATTTTTTGCTCGGCTGATTTTCCCCGCGGGAGCTGCCAGACGTCCCAGGTGAATTGTCTTATGCAAACGCAATCTCTCGCGCACCGTCTGTCTGTTTTCCTCTTCTGGTGAATTTCGCGCTGACAAATCAGAAATTAAATGAGCAAAGTTTTCCCGTATGTGTAAAATTAGTTTACTCAGCTTTGAGCATCAATCAAATTTAAGCGCTCGAGTCTCTGTTACATTATTTATTCTTGGTTGTTCAAGCTCAAATCTTGTGCTCCAGCTCATTTTAATGTATTGTTGCACCAAATGGGATTGCAATTAAAATTCAATCCTTTTTTTCACCGC